ATTTTTTTATTCAAATTCTAGAGATTCATAGAATTCAAACAAAAAAAAAATTCATTAATTTTTGTCAGGTGGTTGTCAAGATAACTTCGCTCAAAGTTTTAAAAAAATATGGCACAGCTTCTATTTGATAGACGCTTTGAATTGTTTACTAACTTTGAGTGAAGATATCTCGATAACTGCCTGACCAAATTCGACAAAAATTTTTTTGTTTGAATTCTATGAAACTGTAGAATTCGAACTAAAAAATTTCATCGAATATGATCAGGTAGTTGTCGAGATATCTTCATTCAAAATTTAAAAATCTTTTAATTTCTAGGGGGGTATGAATATTAAATTTGGGGGGTACAAAAATTAATTCCCTAAACTTAATGCTTTACAAATTTTTTCTGTTTCTTTACTCATAAATAGAATTTTTATTATAGTTTTGTTGTTAATTGCAATTTTTCTATTTAGATACTCAAATTCTTTTGAGATTACTGATGCTGAATTATTGTTCATATTTTCTACTTCACATAGTTTAGCAACTATTATATCAGTAATTAATATCTTAGCTTCTGCTTTCTATACTACTAGCTCATTTTCTGCTTATACAGTTTCTTTGAGCTATTGACTACTTTTTGTTTCTGTATTTTTGCTCTCTTTAAGATTTGTTATACTTCTTTTAACCTCTTTTGTTATTATAAACTCCTGTTCAAGCTTCTTGAGCACTATGTTTAGAACCTCTTTATCCTATTCAATAATTATTTTCTTTATTATTCTATACTAATTTCTGGTTATAGTAATAATTTTTGTACTTATTTCTGTAATTCTAGATATATATTTGTTAATTTGCTTATAGCTTTCTTCTATGCTTTTGATTATATTGATAAGCTTCTAAGATTTCTTTTTTCTAAATATTGCTTTGAGACTTGCTAACTTTCTTTCTTTTAGTAAATAGCTTTCTTTTAGCTATTTTATTTGGTTATACCTTTTATCTGCTAATATTATTCTTAATTTGATATTTTAAGTAAAAGTAACTTCAGTTTTTTTCTAGAAAACTCTAAGATTTTTTCTAATTACCTATGTTCTATCTAGTTTAGAGCCTGTATACTACTCTTCTATTGACTTATATATGATATATCTAGTTAATACTTTGCATATATAAAGTTTGTTTACCTTGTTTTGTAATTTTGTGTTATATAAGATGATCTGCAAGTTATAGTGAATTCAATCTCTACTTTTTTTAAAAAATCTATTCAACTTTTACTCAAAGTCTTATTTTCTTCTGTATATTTCTAAGAATTTCTAAATTTTTCTTTCTACTATATAGACTTTTATGTGCTCTTTTCTTTTGTTTAGTACCTCTTGTAATGTTTCTTAATGTAGTTTTTGCAAAATCTATGTTTTTGCTTTACTTAAAATTTGGTTAAAATAATCTACAGAAAGAGTTCCTAATTTTATATATTTTATTTTTAATCTTTCTTTGAGATAATATAATAGTTTAATAAACTAAGCTATAATCTGCTTTTATGCTATAAAATATTACTATAGTAAAAATCAAAATAAATGTATCTAACTTTGTAAATTTAATTAAGTCTATATATTAATAAAAATAATTTGTTTTATTAAAAAAGTTAATAAAAATTCAATATTAGATATTAATAAAAGCTTATTTTATTATTATATTAAAAACTATCATATCGTATATTTTTTTTTGTTATTATATTTTGGATCAGTTTATAAAATCAATTTATATATTATAGGCAGTTAATTATAATTTTTTACTTTTAAAAAATTATAGAAAATTCAGATAAAGTCTTGAGCGCTACCTTAATAGATTGTTCATTAAACGTATATATTTATTTCACCTGAATGTTTTGTTTCCAATTAGCCAAAAATACAGTACCGAATTCTCCTTTACCAATCTCTTTTATGTCATCCAATTTACTAAAAGGAATCTATTCAACTGCTTTCTCATATTAAGTAGCATTAAGTCGAAATTTTTAATACAATCATCTACAGTATATCTTTATTCACTTTTGAGTTATTTTATAAGAATCACATGACAGGCTCAGCTTATAATCGTTCAAAGTCAGATAGTATGCTTACCCGGGTAAACTTCTTTACCGGGTATATCCGTCAATTACCCAGGTAACCTGCGGGTAACCCGGATAGCAATTTTTCGATCGGGTACAATCACTAATCAAAATATATGTATGCTAAAGTGTTATACAAATTGGATAACTTCTAAAACATTTTTGCATTTTACGTTTGTTAAAATATTTTTTATTGTTTTAAAAATCATATTCGGTGAAAGTAAAAATCAGAATATATGTATTTTGATCTTTCGAATAACGGTGAATAGTGTTTTATCTAGTATAAATTTTGACTTCTATAGTTTCGGGTTTTCAGATTATAGTTTTGGAGGTTTCGGTAGTTTCGATTTTTTTTAAAAAATCCGAAATTAGAACCTTCCTGAAACTAGGATTCGTTTCGAGGTCAACTCTAGTCACATCTTTTTGCAAATCGCAATAATAATTATAACGCTTTGCAAAAAGTGTGACCTTTAACTTTCTTTGTAATGATAGTGGAAACCTCTGTGATTCTAAATTGACGATTGATCGCATATTTCAGTAAGCGACATATAAAAATCAACTAATTTCCAATGAATTTCACATAACAACCTGATTTACAAGGTCACACCTTTTTGCAAACGCAATAAATTACTATTTTATACTTTAGGATCGATTCTAAAAATATGTAATCGTTTATGGAAACGATTATACGTTAAAAATAAGGATCGATTCTAATTCGATTAACGATTAAACCGATTATCATAGATTCGTTTATGCTAATGCAGGGAGGTTACCAGCGTTTTAAGTGTTATAAATAGCATAAGCATAATAAAATTCCGGATTATCCGGTTATTTCCAGATACCGGATATTATTCCGAAAAACTTGAATTAAAAATTTCGGTTTACTGTTTAAATGCCGGTAAATTTGAATTCTATTTAAAAACCAGTTCAAAAATAATTTTTAAGTGTTTCCGGAATAATATTCCAAAAGAAAGTTTCAAATGAATCTAGTATATTGGTGGATCGTTACAACCGTGAGTATCAAACTGATTACCTAACTAGTCTTAGTAACCGGGAATGTAAGAAAAAAAGACAAAGAATCATTAGATTTTTGATTGGTTTAAGTTATTAATCCCGGTTTTACATTACATAACTGATAAACATATCGATATCGATATTTTCTTTGCATATGATCAATATGGATTAATAAGTATAACGATATTCATAATTTTTAGAAACTAGGAATAAGATTGAAGTAAAAAAATCGTCCCTAAATAATCTCTAAATAACAAATAAATACGGATCAATGCATATGGTGACATTAATAAACAAGATTAACATCAGCCAAGGACATTGTAATAGTCTATATTAGTCTTTATTCGGAGCCAAAGATATATTATATCTGTGATACATTATATGCAATATTATTCTTAAATATGTTTTATAAGATGCAATTAATCTATCACATATATACATTCACTTCCACTTCTATCGACTATTATGAAAGATTACGTCATACATAAATGCATCTACGCACATACATCAAAGAAATTATTTTTCCTTTTCAAGACTTAATGAATATATGAAATATATACCTGCATCAAAAAATGTGCGGAATTTTCAATTATTTCATTTTTGGAATCTTGAATATGAGCGGATGACAAACAAAAGAAATTGGATAACCTGTAATCTTAATTGATTTTGAGATATATCGAAATTTTCTTTATAAATATATGGTAATGTGAACTAAAGTTTTTATTCACCTTTAAATTAATAAATCTATCAAAAAAAAAAAATGTTCATTTCCAAAGACAATAATCTTAAAGATCTCGGAGAAACAATTATTTCTGTAAATGACATCGTAAAATACTCTCTAGAAAATAAATGCGATGTTAATACCATTTTCATTAATCCAAAAATTAAATATATACCAACTCTCTCTGTTCAAGAGCTTGTAGAAACTTCGGTTGAAAATAATCGTAGAAAAAATGCAAATAAAACATGTAATGCTTTCTTTATTTTTAGAACAGAGTTTTCAAATGAAGCCAAAAAACTCGGATTTAATTCTGGTCAAATTTCTGTTCATGCAAGTATTTGTTGGAAAAGGTTTCCTGATCATATTAAAGATATTTATAGAAATTTGTCAAAAGAAGTTAATGTAGCATTTAAACAACGAGTTCCTGTCGGATTTATTGACGTTCAAAAAACAAAAAAAAGACGACGAAATAGGGATATAGTATCACGCGAATTGACTTCATCTCATAATTTGATAGATGGAAATAATCAACAAGAACATTCCATGAATTTAATAGATTCAATGGATTCCATGGATTCCGTGGATTCCACGAATTCTAAGCTTACAAATTTACACCTTGCATCGAATGACTCTTATTACCAAGAATTAAAATTGACATGTGAAGCTATTATTAATTCAATTCCCAACTTTCATAATGTTCAACAATCCAACAATGCTATCATAGATTCAATCTTTAGTTCAATCACTGACTTTGATAATATGCAACTATCCACGGATATAACATCAAAATCCAATCAATTTGACCACAGCGTTTATTCATTTTCATTTAATTCATAAATTTCTGTATGGGATCTTTTTTTTCTATAGTTCGTTTAAATTATTTATGTACATATGAAAAACATTTTTTTAAATTTGCATTTTTAAACATTCAAATACTTAAGACCCCGTTATTAATCAAGTAGTTTAGTTCGAATGTGTTGATTATCAACGAACCTTACTGTATATCTAGATATTAGCAATCAATTAAATTATAATTGTAGTCTGACCTAAAATTTACTTGCTTAGCTGGCTATGTCAAGTCGATTGCTTAGTTTATATATCCGAATTATTACCGATACCAAAGCAGCATTTGAGTTGGTTAAATTATCTATCTACATGGCCAAGTTTCAATTGACTCGATTAAATTAATTTTTTTTATATAAAATTAACTAATGCAAAATTGACTACAGGCACAAATAGATTATTACTTATTTCGAATAAATTTGGGATTTTTTTTTTTTTTTTTTGAATATAAAAAAAAAAACATTCATGCATCTTTTCAAAGCAAATAATGTAAAAAAAAAATATAAGTATTAAATATGAAATATATAGAAAGTAATTTAATTTCATATATGATATTTAAATCTATCTTTAATAAAATAAACCAATTCATTTTATTATTGTCCTAATATTCCCCCATCAGAACTATAACCTTTCATTTTTATTACCTTATTTAAGTTTTTTCATTTTTACTACTTTCGTCAGTTTCGCCATTTTGTTTATTTGGTGAAATACGAAACCGGATCATAATCTTAATACCATTACTAGCATTCTCGTTTCAAATCCAAAAATACATGGATCGATACCTAAAACTAACTCAATATTAATTTACAGAAGGTAACAGTAATAGAAATTCTTGTAGGCGCAATTGCAGAATCCAGAATGTCCTAATTAAATTTTGCATTATATTTCTCAATAACATGAGATTGTGAGAAAGATACAACTTTTTTTTTAATGATAATCTTTCCTGTGATGAATAAATCATTATACAAAATTTTTCCTAATGAAAAGAAATGATGAAAATTAGGTACTAAAGTATATTGAATTTTTTTTTTTTTTTTTTTGAAATTTTTATTTAATAATAGAAATTGACTACGTCTAAATAAAACTGACAATTAGTTCAAAATTTACTTTTTAATAGAAAAACTATTCTTACTAATTTAACTGAACTGTTTCTGTTGAATTAAAAATACTTGAGGTAAATATACGGTATATATATATACAATGCAACAATAGGAAATTGAAGAGTTCGTTCGTTTGGGGATGAGAGTTCAGTCAAGATGGGAAGAGGATTTGGGGAGTATTACTCAAATTGTTAGAGAAGTAAAATTGTGTCACGTTGTTAGAAAAGTATTTTAGAGAGTTGGGTATTAAAATAACATATATTGGGTAAGTTTTCTTACAGAGTTTATGTTGAGTCATTATATATTCAAAGGAACGCTGTCATCTTGATATAAATTATTTGAGAATCGGAAGCACATATGGTCAATGCCGACGTTTCTTCTCAATTTTTAAGGATCCCAATAATAGAATTATATAACCTCGGGGATTTTATGATGAATAGGATATATGCTGATACTATATATTATTATGAAACTTATTCACATTAATTATATATTTTTAAGGTATTAGAAGATGAGGTAGAGTTTTAGTAGGAGAAAGTAATATATTTTATATTTTATTCACAATTATTAATTTTAGATCGTGAAAGAGTCAACGAACTTGAAAACAGTAGTTCGAGAAGGTGGATTTGATTTCGGGGGGTTTAAGAAAGAAGAATATGAATCAGCTGAAATCGGAACATGATATTATCAGTTGTACTTATAGAACTATGTACTGAGTTATTTTGAAGTTGGTCGTAGCTAAAAAATCTCGTGCTTTAGAAGATAGATTAAATTATTTATTTTATACTATAATTTATTTTAAATAGTGATACTAATTTTTCATCTGATTGCAGTTTTCTGTTAGCAATATAGATAGGAATTACTGATTTCCTTTTAAATATTGTATTTTTATTTTTATTTTTAATATTTCCTATTTTCTTTTTCTCGTATACAGTATATAGTATTAGGCATTTAATGAAAGTTTTTTTTTGCTAATTTGTATATAATAATCTATTTATTATTATATTAACCGTGTTAGCTCAAGGTTTACGACTTTGCATGTAAATTCAAAATTATCAGATCTGTTTGTAAATAATAAGTTAAGTAAATGCTAAATAAAATGTATTTTTCACTGGCCCTACTTAGCATACATAATTAGTTTACTTCGCGTGTATATTTCGGAATTTATTACAATTTATTAATATCAATCGAATTTTTTTTTTTTTTTTAACAAAGGCGATTAACTTACCTGACCTATTTTTCTTTACTCACTCTAAAAGTAAAAATTCATTTCTTTCTTAACTCCATTCAGGTTATGGTAATTATCATATAAAATGTAGTCGCAAATTCAGATAGAGCAATGATACTGTATTATTAAGTCAAAATTTTATACAGTACTATGTGTGCCATTCCAGCATTCTATGATTATTTGATAATATATCGATACGCATTGTTAGTTAAATCGAAGCAAAGAATGATTTGTTATAATAAAACTTTAATGTTATATTCACTCATTTTACATTACTAACCTATGATGGTAGAATTAATGAATTATAGCATTACCAGTATTCTACCATATGATAAAATTAGACTTGAAAATCTTTAACCGATAGATATCAGTTTAGGCAATTAAAATTTTTTATTTTGCGTGCCATTTATCACGTAACATTCATAGGACATTTCCCCTACGATTAGTGATGGGCACGCGCAGAATCCCCGCGGGATCACGCGCGCAAAATGCGCGTGATTTTTAATGTGTTCCCTAATTCAGGCCAGCTGGCCCGCATTAACAAAATTTTATTGTTTTGTCTCTCATACGCTTGATACTAATCGTAGAAATACATACGGGTTTATTCCCTCTGCGGTCGAGCAACCTACGCAAATTACATAGCATCGTTTTTTTTTTTTTTTTTATAAACTACAAATATTTAAAATGACTGTTGTTCTGACAGGTCATAACTTGTTAATTTTAAGCTATCCTGTATTCGGTTATCATGACAATAAAACTTCTCATGACTGTCGTCACGACAGGTCATCTGTTCATAAAAACCTTAGACTTAGCAATCGATGAATTACAGGTAGGGTGGGAGGGATTGACAAAACCAGACTAAAAGTCGGGTTCGCAAAAGAAATAGAGTTATCTCTACCTCTATTCATTACAATACTTAAATACTCATATCAAAGTAACTCAAACGTCATTATTACTGAACTGCTCATATTAATCGTCACTATTACCTCTAATTCCTCTTAGTCTATTACATACTAATATAATCATATTAAGCACGTCACTACAAAATTACCTATGTGACCGTAATTGGGCATGTCACATGCCTAGTTACGAGCTGATTCGAGACAAAAGTTGCTTCGATACTATCGTATCGAGCAGCTTTATTGATTTTATTCTTTCTTTCTTTTTCTTTTCTCTCTAATTTTTTTTTTTTTTTTTTTTTTTGAGCAACAGATTTTAATTCTTAACTTACTTGTTGAGATAATACTATATTACATCTGTACTCTTTTCTATTTAGCTAAAAACCCATAATATTTGATGTACTTAAATCTGCTATGTTTACTGCTCTAATATACAATCTAGTTACATCTGAAACCCAATTACTGATAGTCTATAGATAGTTCACCTTTTATTGCTGTTGTGGCATCACAATTCTCAAGCTATGCACAGTAAACCTTCCTTTAATATTAGTATAGTTTGTTATATATTTCACTATAGCTAAAATTGCTAATACAGATGAATCATTACCTGATTTGAACAGAAAAAGAGGAACATCATTTTCTAATCCTGGTTTAATTTTAATATACTGCTCTACTAATCTCATTGGACAATATTTGCTATTTGATCTTTTTACAGGAATAAATTTTTCTTTAGCAAGTTGGTCTATTTTTGACTTATTAATACAAACTCATAAGAAATTATCAACTTACTTAAGGTTTTTCTTTTTCAAGTTACAGAACTCATCTAGATGTCTTACTGTTCTTACTTTTAAAATTACTAATACAAGATCTTTAATTTAATACTTATAACAAATATCTTCTGAAGGAAAATTAAGATAATATTTTATAGCTTCAACTAGTAATAAATCTTTTAGTTATTTCACTTCTATATTTTGTACTATTTATTTTTATATTGCTAACTAAACACTGCATTATATTGCTTCTAATTAGATCTGATTAATCTCTTAATCTATATAATTTAGAAACTATTATTAAATAGTTAGCTATCTCTAAACTATATCTTGTTATTTCTAATCAGACTACAAAAATCATTAATATTGTATTTGAAATTAAATAAAAGATATATTTTATTTTATTTTATTTTATTTTATTTTTTTTTTAAACTTAGATGATCTTGCCTATTATTTTATTAAAGAAAAACTTATACAAGCTATAAAGTAAATTTTTATATAAACTATATTAAAATACCCTTCTTTAATTATTCTGAACTTACTTAGCTGCTTTTCAGTGCTCAGGTGCGATCTGCTGCAGCAACATTTTCTTTTATAGAAATGTTAAGCTATATTTAGCTTACTAGTTACAAAAGATATATTTTATCTTTTTAATAAAGTTTTTAAAGATTATCTATATCTTTTTAATTTCTTTTTATATGATTCACTAATAGTATTCTCTATTAAAAATTTTGTTCATTCTAGAAGTCTTTATACTAGTTTATATAAATTGTTTTCAAATACTAATTATAGTTGTTATATAGTTTTAGATAATCTGATAGACCTGATAAAATAATTTTTGTTAGTAGAAATAAATCTAGTTCCTCTCTTTGAATATTTATTATAATTAGCTATTATAATGCTACTACCTATACTAGAATAATAATAACTATTAGTGTCTCATATTTTTTTGTATATACTATAGCCTAATAAATTATTAGAAAAAGTAAATACAAATAATTTACTAAACTCTTTTAATTCTATATAAAGCAGTTTACTGCTTTTAAATTTAAACAGAAATGCAAACTATTAAATCTTTTTAATTTTGTATTTTAACAAATCTGTTTATATTAAACTTTCTCTAACAATCTTCTAACTTCTTACTATCTCTATTTTTATTAACTAATCTTTTATATCTTTTATTCTGATAAAATATCAGCTAAATTTTTTCACTAGAAATCTAAAATGCTTAAAAAATTTTTATATTTTTTTCTAAGTATACTTTTTAAATTTTATATACAATATTCTTCTGCTAATCTAGTAGTTTTCTCTTCAATACTATTTTTAATACTACTTTGTTGTTTATTATTAGTATTATATAAGACTCACTTAAAAGCTTTTCAAGTTTCTGAAAAACTTGTAATACTGCAATTGCTTTTAATTATATAATTATATTTGCTATTAGTTTTTATAACTAATTTCCTTTTACTACTAGCTTGTTAAATACTTTATATCAATCTATCAATAAAGTATCTATGTAAACTACTTTTATTTTAGATAATTTTCATGCTAAGTAATTATTTTAAATTCTTAAATTTTCTACTAACTAACTATTTTATATTTTTTACTATTTAAAGAGACAATATTACTGTTTTGTTTTATTTGTTTTATAAATAATTTTTTGCATCTATCAGCTTATAAAATTTCAAGCTTTTTATTTTCATTAGAGTAAATAATCTTCTAAGCTCTATATTTTTCCTACAACTAATATTAGTTCTCTTATTTTTTTTTTTTTTTTTTTTTTTTTTTTTACCATAATCAAGCTGACTTACTGGCCAAACAAGGAGCTTACAAATTAATAATATCAATTGATATTACTAAACTAAATCCTCTAATATTCTTCTAATGGCACCAATATCCTATCTCTTTTAAACTCCGTACTTTTGTTAAAAATACTATAACTACTGAAGAATTATATAACTTCTCACAACTTAAATATCTT